TATGTCTAAATAAATCATGATAATGATTAAATCTACAAGTTAGTAATTTTAGTAACTACTTGTGGTTAATACAAAGGTTGCATAAAATACAAAGATGTATAAAACTGTTGGTTATTTCCAACTTTTCTTGAAAAACAGCGCCATCTGTTGCATGTAAGAGCAACACTCATGCAATAGTAGATATGTTACAATTCCATTTCAATGTTTCTGATTGCATTGATAAATTGAATTTTTCTAGATTTTGATTTATTTTAATTTTAATTTAATTTTTTGAGTGAATTTTGTTGTAATTGAGCTGTGTTGTTTACCAGACTGTTCATATCGTGAGAATTGTTTATTTTTCTATTTTTTCATATTTTTATTTCATTTTTTAACTGTTTTTCTTATATTTCAGTGATGAGAACATCAGATGACTTGATGTTCCCAATTTTCTGATGGGAACATCAATCCATTTGGGAAGGCATCGGACGAGGGAGTGGGAAATGGTGGGGATGATGAGGGGAAGGAAGTGAGAGATGGTGGGGAGGACGATGGGACAAAGGAGGGAGTAATGGGTGGGATGGGGGAGTTTGGGATGGTGGGGACGAGGGGATGGGAGAATGGAGAATGGAAGGAAGGACAAAGGGACAGGGGAGTGGGGCATGGTGGGAAGGAAGAGGGGATAGTGGAGTGGGGAATGGTTGGGAGGCCGAAAAGACGGGTGAGGGGGGAATGGTGGGGAGGACTGGGGGACAGGGAAGGTTGCTGTGGCTCAGCAATGCACATGCATTGCTGAGCCACAGCAACGCGTCGCCGGGTACTACTAGTATATATATATATATATATATATATATATATATATATATATATATATATATATATATATATATATATATATATATATGTATATATATATATATATATATATATATATATATATATATATATATATATATATATATATATATATATATATTATTAAATATGACCGAAAAAGTAAGATTAATAATTCTAACACGAATTTTCTCAATCTTTCGTACATTTCTTTTCACTGTTGGAGGTAATTCAAAAATCAATTCTCCAAAATTCATTTTTATTTCTAGTCTGACGTGACACTTGAGCGCGTTTCGTAAAACTTATTACATTTTCAAAGACTTTAGTTAACACATACACAACTGAATAGAACTTACACATCTTCCGATTTTGTTTATATCTACATTTGAGTGAGGTGGATGGGGTGAGGTGGTATTTAATAAGGTATTAATTTCATCAACACAAGCCAGAACATGAAACAATGGGTATTGAATAGAAGTGATTGTAGAAAGCCTATTGGTCCATATTTTTGATGCTTCTATATTGGAGCGGAGTCTTGAGGTGGGTAGAATATAGTTGTGCATTAATTAGCTGTTGATTGCTGGTGTTGACTTCTTGATGTGTAATGCCTCGCAAACGTCAAGCCGCCTGCTATCGCTGTATCTATCGATGATTTCTGTGTTGTTTACTAGGATTTCTCTGGCGATGGTTTGGTTGTGGGAAGAGATTATATGTTCCTTAATGGAGCCCTGTTGCTTATGCATCGTTAAACGCCTAGAAAGAGATGTTGTTGTCTTGCCTATATACTGGGTTTTTTGGAGCTTACAGTCCCCAAGAGGGCATTTGAAGGCATAGACGACGTTGGTCTCTTTTAAAGCGTTCTGCTTTGTGTCTGGAGAGTTTCTCATGAGTAGGCTGGCCGTTTTTCTGGTTTTATAGTAAATCGTCAGTTGTATCCTCTGATTTTTGTCTGTAGGGATAACGTTTCTATTAACAATATCTTTCAGGACCCTTTCCTCCGTTTTATGAGCTGTGGAAAAGAAGTTCCTGTAAAATAGTCTAATAGGGGTATAGGTGTTGTGTTAGTTGTCTCTTCAGAGGCGTTTCACTTTCCTTCTTATGATGTCTTCGACGAAACAAAAAGTTTCGTCGAGCAAAAAGTCTTAGTCGACATGAACTTGAAACCGGCCATATACTGCAGGTATGTTGACGACATTTTTACACAGGTACCTGATGTCAGACATCTGCAGGAGCTGAAGGAGGCGTTTGAGCAGAGTTCCGTGCTGCGTTTCACTTACGAGATGGAAAAGGATGGGAAGCTGCCCTTTCTAGATGTAACAGTCATGGAAAAGAGCGGAGGTGGACCCGGGGTCCACCACAAGACTCAACACTGGTCAACATGCCCCCCAGGGGTCCACCACAAGACTCAACACTGGTCAACATGCTCCCCCCAGGGGTCCACCACAAGACTCAACACTGGTCAACATGTCCCTCCCCCAGGGGTCCACCACAAGACTCAACACTGATCAACATGTCCCTCCCCTCAGGGGTCCACCACAAGACTCAACACTTGTCAACATAACCCCCCCCAGGGGTCTACCACAAGACTCAACACTGGTCAACATATCCGCCCTCCCCCAAGGGGTCTACCACAAGACTCAACACTGGTCAACATATCCCCTCTCCCCCCAGGGGTCCACCACAAGACTCAACAGTAGTCGACATGCTCCCCAGGGGTCCACCACAAGACACAAGACTCAACACTGGTCAACATGCCCCCCAGGGGTCCACCATAAGACTCAACACTGGTCAACATGCCCCCCAGGGGTCCACCATAAGACTCAACACTGGTCAACATGCCCCCCCAGGGGTCCACCACAAGGCTCAACACTGGTCAACATCCCCCCAGGGGTCCACCACAAGACTCAACACTGGTCAACATGCCCCCCAGGGGTCCACCATAAGACTCAGCACTGGTCAACATGCCCCCAGGGGTCCAATATAAGACTCAACACTGGTCAACATGCCCCCCCAGGGGTCCACCATAAGACTCAACACTGGTCAACATCCCCCCGGGGGTCCACCACAAGACTCAACACTGGTCAACATGCCCCCCCCAGGGGTCAACCACAAGACTCAACACTGGTCAACATATCCCCCCCAGGGTTCCACCACAAGACTCAACACTGGTCAACATGCCCCCCCAGGAGTCCACCACAAGACTCAACACTGGTCAACATGCCCCCTCCCCCGGGGGTCCACCACAAGACTCAACACTGATCAACATGCCCCCCCAGGGGTCCACCACAAGACTTAACACTGGTCAACATGCCCCCCCCAGGGGTGTACCACAGGACTCAACACTGGTCAACATGCCCCCCCAGGGGTCCACCACAAGACTCAACACTGGTCAACATGCTCCCCCCCAGGGGTCCACCACAAGACTCAACACTGGTCAACATGCTCCCCCCCCCAGGGGTCCACCACAAGACTCAACACTGGTCAACATACCCCACCCAGGGTCCACCACAAGACTCAACACTGGTCAACATGCCCCCCCCGGGGGTCCACCACAAGACTCAACACTGGTCAACATGCCCCCCCGGGGTCCATCACAAGACTCAACACTGGTCAACATATCCCCCCAGGGGTCCACCACAAGACTCAACACTGGTCAACATGCCCCCTCCCCCAGGGGTCCACCACAAGACTCAACACTGGTCAACATGCCCCCTCCCCCAGGGGTCCACCACAAGACTCAACACTGGTCAACATGCCACCCCAGGGGTCCACCACAAGACTCAACACTGGTCAACATGCCCCCCCGGGGGTCCACCACAAGACTCAACACTGGTCAACATGCCCCCCAGGGGTCCACCACAAGACTCAACACTGGTCAACATGCCCCCTCCCCCAGGGGTCCACCACAAGACTCAACACTGGTCAACATGCCCCCCCAGGGGTCCACCACAAGTAATGCCCCAACTGTGAGACTAACAGAACAAGTACTTCTCCACTTCCATACATTCCATCATAACCAACACTCAAGCTTACCAACATATCCGTGTCCAGAATGTCTTAGTAAAGTATATAAATATCATAGTAAGTGCTGCCATGTGAGGCCGGGAGCATCCATGACGACATGGGAGGTTATCTTGAGGTTATCTTGAGATGATTTCGGGGCTTAGAGTCCCCCGGCCCGGTCCTCGACCAGGCCTCTTGTTTGTTACACATCCCTAGAAAGTAGACCGTAGTGGCTGTTTTACTCCCAGGTACCTATTTACTGGTAGGTGAACAGATGCATCAGGATGAAAGAAACTCTGCCTATTTCAGCCTCCGCCGGGAGTCGAACTAGGAACCTTAGGACTACGAATCCCAAGCGCTGTCCACACAGCCGTCATACCCACAGGGGACCTAAACCTTCACAAACCTGCTCATACCCGCGAGACCACCAGTCGGGTAACTTCTTATTGTTATTTATATATTCAAGAGTGTAACCTACTACGGGCTCACCATAGCCCGTGCTACTTGGAACCTTTTGTTCTAGGTAGCAAATCTTTAACAACAACAACATATTCAAGAGTTGTGACGCTCTGTGAAGGGGCATAACTGGCCGACCCCTCACAGTGTTCAAGAGAGAACTGGATAAGCACCTCCAAAGGATACCTGATCAACCAGGCTGTGACTCGTACGTCAGGCTGCGAGCAGCCGCGTCCAACAGCCTGGTTGATCAGTCCGGCAACCAGGAGGCCTGGTCGACGACCGGGCCGCGGGGACGATAAGCCCCGGAAGCACCTCAAGGTAACCTCTTGTACAGCACACGTAGCGTTCTGGCAGGTCCTTAATCCTAATTGTCCCCGGAATACGACCCGCTAAATCTTCTAACAACCAGTTACCTATTCACTGCTTAGTGAACAGAGGCTGTAGTTAAGGATTGGCGCCCAGTCAATCCTCCCTAGACAGGATACTAACCCAAGCCACAGCGCTGGCGAAGCGCCGGGCGAGTGCTTTACCACTGCGCCATGGGCACTGAATATTGATAATAATGATGAACTTCACAAAGTCGGTTTGTTACAACATTCTAACCATTTACCACAAGATACTCAGCCGGAGGATATACCCGGCTGTGGAGTCACGGTACTCACCGTGACTCACTGGGTGAGTACTCACAGTACTCACCCAGTACTCACAGTACTCATAGTACTCACCACAATATAACCTGGATACAGGGCACACGCTTCCATCACCTGTAAGGTACAAACAGAAACTGTATTTCAAAACCTAAAGTTCTCTCTCCATACACAAACTGTTAACATTTTGTAGAGAGAGAGAGAGAGACAAGGGTGTGGGGTGAAAATTTTTTGATATAATAATAATTATATATATATATATATATATATATATATATATATATATATATATATATATATATATATATATATATATATATATATATATAATAATAATAATAATAATAATAATAATTATTCAATAAATATTATTTAATATATAAATATATAAATCTATTAAATAAATAAATACTAAATATAAATATTAAATAATTTTAACTGCCAAATTATAGTGATACATAATTATACAAAAATATTTGTACAAAATTTAAAAAAAAATAATTGTAATTGATTATTATCCATCCATAGTGCCACGTATCCATTCATAGTGCTAATTACCCATCCAAAGTGGCACTTACCATCCATCTTAAGGTTATCTTGAGATGATTTCGGGGCTTAGCGTCCCCGCGGCCCTGTCCTCGACCAGGCCTCCTTTTTGTAACACACCCCTAGGAAGCAGCCCGTAGCAGCTGTCTAACTCCCAGGTACCTATTTACTGCTAGGTAACAGGGGCATCAGGGTGAAAGAAATATTTTTGGCCCATTTGTCTCCGCCTCCACCGGGGATCAAACCCGGAACCTCAGGACTACGAATCCGAAGCGCTGTCCACCCAGCTGTCAGACACGCTGACAGTGGTGCACTTCATAGTGGCACTTACCCATCCATCGTGGCATTTATCCATCCATAGTGGCACTTATACCCATCTATAGTGCCCCTTATCCATCCATAGTGGCACTTATACCCATCTATAGTGCCCCTTATCCATCCATAGTGGCACTTATACCCATCTATAGTGCCCCTTATCCATCCATAGTGGCACTTATACCCATCTATAGTGCCCCTTATCCATCCATAGTGGCACTTATACCCATCTATAGTGCCCCCTATCCATCCATAGTGGCACTTATACCCATCTATAGTGCCCCTTATCCATCCATAGTGGCACTTATACCCATCTATAGTGCCCCTTATCCATCCATAGTGGCACTTATACCCATCTATAGTGCCCCTTATCCATCCATAGGGGCACTTATACCCATCCAAAGTGTCACTTATGTCTGGAATCCAAGAAGTTCCGCGCTGGAAACAAATGGTATCATATAACACAAATGTCACTAAATGGACATTGTTCTGTTTGTACAGGACACCTGGCGGTCAGTGAGATGACTTGTACAGGACACCTCGCGGTCAGTGAGATGACTCTTGTACAGGACACCTCGCGGTCAGTGAGATGACTCTTGTACAGGACACTTGGCGGTCAGTGAGATGACTCTTGCACAGGACACTTGGCGGTCAGTGAGATGACTCTTGTACAGGACACTTGGCGGTCAGTGAGATGACTCTTGTACAGGACACTTGGCGGTCAGTGAGATGACTCTTGTACAGGACACTTGGCGGTCAGTGAGGTGACTTGTACAGGACACCTGGCGGTCAGTGAGATGACTTGTACAGGACACCTGGCGGTCAGTGAGGTGACTTGTACAGGACACCTGGCGGTCAGTGAGATGACTTGTACAGGACACCTGGCGGTCAGTGAGATGACTTGTACAGGACACCTGGCGGTCAGTGAGATGACTTGTACAGGACACCTGGCGGTCAGTGAGATGACTTGTACAGGACACCTGGCGGTCAGTGAGATGACTTGTACAGGACACCTGGCGGTCAGTGAGATGACTTGTACAGGACACCTCGCGGTCAGTGAGATGACTTGTACAGGACACCTCGCGGTCAGTGAGATGACTTGCACAGGACACCTCGCGGTCAGTGAGATGACTTGTACAGGACACCTGGCGGTCAGTGAGATGACTTGTACAGGACACCTCGCGGCAACACCCTCCATACACCACACCCAAAAAAACATAGGAGAGACGACTGCTGGACCCAAACATACACAGGAGAGTGACGTGTGCTGGGCCCAAACACACACAGGAGAGTGACATGTGCTGGACCCAAACACACATAGGAGAGAGACGTGTGATGGGCCCAAACACACACAGGAGAGTGACGTGTGCTGGACCCAAACACACACAAGAGAGTGACGTGTGCTGAACACAAACACATACAGGAGAGTGACATCTGCTGGACCCAAACACACACAGCAGAGCGAACAGTGCAAGACCCAAACACACACCGGATAGTGACGTGTGCTGGACCCAAACACTCACAGGAGAGTGACGTGTCCTGGATGCAAACATACACAGGAGAATGAAATGTGCTGGACCCAAACACACACCGGAGAATGACGTGTGCTGAACCCAAACACCCAGAGGAGAGTGACGTTTGCTGGACCTAAACACCCACAGGAGAATGACATGTGCTGGACCCAAACACACACAGGAGAATGACGTGTGCTCGACCCAAACACACATAGGAGAGTGACGAGTGCTGGGTCCAAACACACACAGGAGTGCGACATGTGCTGGGCCCAAACTTCCACAGGAGAGTGACGTGTGCTGGACCCAAACACACACAGGAGAGTGACGTGTGCTGAACCTAAACACACACAGGAGAGTGACGTGTTCTGGACCCAAACACACACAGGAGAGCGAAGAGTGCATGACCCAAACACACACAGGATAGTGACGTGTGCTGGACCTAAACACATACAGGAGAGTGACGTGTCCTAGACAAAAACACACGCAAGAGAGTGACGTGTGCTGGACCCAAACACACACACACAGGAGAGTGACATGTGCTGGACCTAAATATTCACAGGAGAGTGACGTGTACTAGACAAACACACACGCAAGAAAGTGACGTGTGCTACACCCAAACACACAACGACAAGTGACATGTGCTGGATCCAAACACACACACAAGATGATTGACGTGTGCTAGACCCAAACACACACAGGAGAGTGATGTGTGCTCGACAAAAACACACGCAAGAGAGTGACGTTTGCTGAACCCAAAGACACACAGGAGAGTGAAGTGTGCTCGACCCAAACACACACACAGGACAGTGACGTGTGCTGGACCCAAACACACACACACACTAGAAAGTGACGTGTGCTGCACCCAAACACACACACAAGAGAGTGACGTGTGCTGGATCGAAACACATACACAAGAGGTTTGACATGTGCAGGACCCTAAACACACACACAGGAGAGTGACGTGTACTGAACACAAACACACACATAGGAGAATGACGTGTGCTGGACCCAAACACACACAGGAGAGTGACATGTGCTGGACCTAAATATTCACAGGAGAGTGACGTGTGCTAGACAAAATCACACGCAAGAAAGTGACGTGTGCTACACCCAAACACACACAGGAGAGTGACGTGTGCTGGACCCAAACACACAAGGGAGAGTGACGTGTGCTGGACCCAAACACACAAGGGAGAGTGACGTGTGCTGGACCCAAACACACAAGGGAGTGACGTGTGCTGGACCCAAACACACAACGACAAGTGACATGTGCTGGATCCAAACACACACACAAGATGATTGACGTGTGCAGGACCCAAACACACACAGGAGAGTGACGTATGCTGGACCCAAACCCACACACAGGAGAGTAACGTGTGCTAGACCCAAACACACACAGGAAATGACGTGTGCTGGAACCAAACATACAAAGACGAGTGAGTGTACTGAACCCAAACACACACAGGAGAGTGAAGTGTGCTGGACCCAAACACACAACAACGAATGCCGTGTTCTGGACCCTAACACACAAAGACGAGTGACGTAAGCTGGACCCAAACACTTACACAGGAGAATGACGTGTGCTGTACCCGAACACACAAAAGCGAGTGACGTGTCCTGGACCCAAACACTTACACAGGAGAGTGACGTGTGCTAGGCCCAAACACACGCAAGAAAGTGATGTGTGCTGGACCCAAACACACACAGGAGAGTGATGTGTGTTGGGCCTAAACACACACAGGAGAGTGACGAGTGCTGGACCCAAATATAAATTTGAGAGTGACGTGTTCTGGACCCAAACACACACAGGAGAGCGAAGAGTGCAGGACCTAAACGCACAGAGGAGAGCGAAGAGTGCAGGACCCAAACACACACAGGAGATTGACTTTTGCTTGACCTAAACACACACAAGAGAGTGACGTGTGCTGAACCCAAACACACACAAGATAGTGACCGTGTGCTGGACCCAAACACACACAGGAGTGTAACGTGTGCTGAACCCAAGCACACACAGGAGTGACGTGTCCTGGATCCAAACACACACACAAGAGAGTGACGTGTTCTGGACCCAAACGCACACAGGAGAGCGAAGAGTGCAGGACCCAAACACACACAGGAGATTGACTTTTGCTTGACCTAAACACACACAAGAGAGTGACGTGTGCTGAACCCAAACACACACAAGAGAGTGACCGTGTGCTGTGTGGGAACCGACCTGTGAGATTTATATTTATTTAATTTATATGAATTTATATAGAATTTATGTTTACGTTAATTTATATACTTCGATAGCAATTTGTATGATAAGTGGACTGTATTTCTGCAATAATCTCACAAATCGATCCTCTACACATTAAGGGGGGTTTATATTGAATTTATATATATGCAGCCAATCAAACTACAGTATTAGACTACATACATTGAAGAGGTTCCTTATCTTATTTGTACAGCAGGCCTTAGTCTACCAGGTATAACTATGGTGTAGACACCAAATTTTCCCTCGTGTGAGGTAGCTTCCATCACCCTGGTAACTGATACACAAAGCATGCTTCCTCGTCTTGACTTGTATTTGTTGACAGCGTGTTGATGATGGTACACCTTTGGTTTCCATAACACTTCGTCCAAGTAAAATTAACAGAAGCCGTATTTGCTCCCGTGAGCCTCTGGTCTAAGTACAATAACAATGGCTGACCACTCCCTACTCACTGACGCTACTGGCCTACATTGTCCAGATGACAGTAAGTGATAGAAGGGTCACATTTACTCTATTTTAATATTGATAATTAAGTTAATTTATATGAGATGTTTTTATGATGGTAAAGTCCAAAGACTAATGTATTTAAGAATAATTCCCTCCATAATAGGTGGTGAATTTATAATAGTATGTGGTAATGATATCCCGTTTTCTATAGACGGAAATTCCACTACAAGTTACATTTTCTATGGGTTAACTTGTTTATACAACACAGCAATATTATCTGCCTGTATGATATTATTAAATGGTGTCGGATTTTCCGACATGCTGGACCCAAACACACACAGGAGTGTAACGTGTGCTGAACCCAAGCACACACAGGAGTGACGTGTCCTGGATCCAAACACACACAAGAGAGTGAAGTGTGCTGGACCCAAACACACACACAAGAGAGTGAAGTGTGCTGGACACAAACACACACACAGACGAGTGACATGTGCTGGACCCAAACATACACAGGAGAGTGATGTGAGCTGGACCCAAACATAAAACAACGAATGACGTGTTTTGGACCCTAACACACAAAGACGAGTGACGTAAGCTGGACCCAAACACTTACACAGAAGAGTGACGTGTGCTGGACAGAAACACACACAGGAGAATGACGTGTGCTGTACCCTAACACACACATCCGAGTGACGTGTGCTGAACCCAAGCACACACAGGAGAGTGATGTGTGCTGGACCCAAACACACAAAGAAGAGTGACGTGTGCAAGACCCAAACACATACACAGGAGAGTGACGTGTGCTGGAC